CAATTCATTGACTTTGCAGGATTCACTCTGCATAGATGAGCTCGTGTGACAGTAGATATTATCTCGCATTAAATCACTGACTCTGCAGCAATCCGTTACACTGGCAGTTAATACAGGCAGCGACAGTGGGGAGAAAAAATACATCCTTTTAGCAGGAGGAAAACTCCAGCAGAAATGGGCTCAGTGTAGTTGGCCTTCTGCTGTGGCTCACTGGGGTTTTGCTTTATTGCCTGATTACAGTAGATCTGATTCAGATAGAGAGAAAAATTAGGCCTAATTTTACATTAACCAAATACAGTTCATGTATTCTATGTTCTCTCTTAAAGCAAAAAATGCCTTTATTAAAAAAAAGACAGCTAAAAACTGAATTCCCTTTAACGACCACTCTTTCAGAGACTTAGACGGGGGATTGCAGGCCAACACACATTCCAAAGGGGTGGACCAGTTCGTCCGTTATAAAATAAAAACAAGGCTTTGTTGAGCTACCGTATAAAGCCTCAAAATCAACACTATTCCTGACATTTAAATTGAAAAAGCTTCCTGGATGGGAAGCGAATTGTCTTCAAACTTGGATACAAAGTCCAGTGGATTGTTTTTAAGTTTATTTTTTAGAATGACTATGACCTGGATTCAGTAACAGTAAAAAAAAAAAAGGAAGCTTCACCAACAACTGAAAACATGTTTTTTTTTTTTTATTTGCTCTGTTTTTTTGTACTGTGCAACTGTTTTATTGTTTATGCACATTTGAAAGCTCTAACTATAGCTTGCAGGATTTCCTTTGTAGCACCTTGAGATTTGTTTTTTTTTTTTAAAGTAAAGCAGTTAATAAATGAAATCCAGTGTTTTTATTTATTTATTCTAAAGAGATCATTGTGTATAATTCGTACATAAAGGAGTTCAGAATTCAAACACACAAAAGCACATAATCTTTATCAAAATGTCTGAATAAGTCTTCAACTCTGAAACGCAAAAGCCAAAATAGCTTTTTTTTTCCTCTCAAAGGAAAAGTGAGAGCAGTAACTAGGTGTTGAAGTACATGCAGGATCAAAGTGTATTTTGACAAACAAGACAGAACATGATTTAGTTGCTTTGTCTTTATCCTCTGCTGTTACTGAAGTTCTGCTTTTTTTCCCTTTTTGCACTGAAAGCTTGTATCAGACATGCAAGTGTGAATAGTGATTGTTCAACCAGCTGGAAGTCCTGTGCAGGAAGCTGATGTGAGGCTTTGCAAAACCTGAGATTTTTGGATCGCTGCTTTATATCAACATCAAAGCCCAGAATAATCCGGGAAGGCAGGGCAGGTTTAATCTGGCTGTGACTGATTCTCACCACCTGGGAAGGCAAAGGAAGCTGAGCATGAGGAAATTCAACAAAAACACATCTGCTATCTTTGTTTGTTCACATGCGAACAACCAGGATCTGAAAAACGAAAAACATTTTAGATAGTAAACATACAGCATTTACAAAATGTGCTCGGCATACAAAGCTTTACTGGTGAAATCAGGCAGATTTTCATACCTTCTGTATTTAAATATAATTAAAAAGTCATTTTGATTTATATGTAATAAAATAATGTGCTCTGTTTTCTTTTAATAGGATATCTTGATGTTGTAATTGACTGCTAGATAAGCTTGATCATAAACAATACTCTTTATATATATTTTCCTACTGCTGTCGACATAAAACAGTTCAGTTTCCCATTTTCTCTGGACGATGTCCGCAAGGTTATTTGCCCATATACATTCGGAAAAAAGTCTAAGAAACGTAAAACTCAAACTACAAACTTTACTAAAATGCATTGTTAAAAAAAAATTAAATAAAATAAAATAAAAAGAATTTACATTACTAAAGAATGAGCACAATTAAGTGCAACGGAATAGGAGAGAAAATGCAAAAACATAAAATACTCTTTGAAAAGACAAGGTGCTAATAACAGCATAATAAGTGCCTTATTATTTTATTTTTTTCCCCTTTTCTGTATGCTTTAGATAATAGGCACTACAGAAGATGTTTATTAGGAAACTCCAAATATACAAAGTGTGGTTGGTGAACAAATGGGAGCATGTAGCTGTTTGTTTTCCTCACACTGGATTAAAACCATCTTAATGTATCAATCACCTCCACAAGAGTTTGAATACTGCTGGGTCACATTTATTTAGAATTCATTTTCATTCACACAATGTTTTTTTTCTCCATTGCTTTTGTAGCTAATGCTAAAGTCCCAAATCTGATGGATGTTTATGAACAATGTGCAGATTCTCTCTCTGTCAAGGTTGGTTGTGGTTTGGAGGAGCCAAATGCAGAGGCAGAGAGGCTGAGGTGAATACTTGTAGGATAACAAAAAAACATGAGAACTAACAAATCTAGAAAATAAAAAAGGAATTAAACCAATAAACTAGGAATCATAGAACAAAGTAAAGCACAATATAGCCAAAACCATGACACTCTCTAGATATGAAAAATAGGTCTTCACCATCAGTTTCTTTCTTGAGTAGCAAAATTAACTGGATTGCTTTTTTCACCTAATCATTATGAGAATTTG